CCTCTTCCACCTAACCCCCACCCAACCCCAAGCCTTCACCACACTATTATCTGTGTCCATGGGCTATGCATATATGCACATATGTTCTTTGGTTAATCTCGTCCCATCCACCTAATGGGACTTTCTTGAATACACAAATCAGAATGATTGACGATCATCATGTTGATGGTTTATCTGAGTCTGTGGAAATTGCTAAAGCACTAATAGAGGCAAACATTTCCATTGCGTAGCATGGTGAAATGAGAACTAGAACTTGGGAGTCAGATACTACAGGGGTTGAGTAACCTGGGGCGAGTTACTGAATTTTCTGACCCCAAGGTTTCTTCACCTGTAATAGGGGATAATAACAGCATTGGCTTCCTGAGCTGTGACCACTGCATCAGAAATCCTGTGAGGGCTTTAACCGCAGATCCTGGGCCCCACTCCTAGGTCTGGGGCCGAGAATTTGCATTTCCAACAAGCTCACAGCTGATGCTTTTACTGCTGGTTCAGGGGACCTCAACTTGAAGAAGTGCCGACTGTTAAAAGTCAGTAAGAGGAAACATACTAAGGACCAGTATAAACCGTAGTGACAATGATGTTGTCCGTGATGCTGATGATTGGGTCATTGCACCCTTTTCTCATATGATCTTTACATTATCAGGTGTGGGCAGAAGAAAAAGCTGGTGATCAATGGGAATGGAGCTGTGGAGGACAGAAAGCCAAGCGGACTCAACGGGGAGGCCAGCAAGTCTCAGGAGATGGTGCATTTGGTGAACAAGGAGCCGTCGGAGACCCCAGACCAGTGTATGACGGCCGATGAGACACGGAACCTACAGAACGTGGACATGAAGATTGGGGTGTAACACTTATACCATGATCTTGGATAGAAATCACACATAACCAATACAGGGAGCTGGGACACTCACAGATGCAATGTGCTACTGATTATTTCATTGGGGTTCTTTTTTTTTTTTTTTAGCATAACATTTTCTACTCCTTTTTGTTTATTGTGCTTTGTTTTTTGAAGTCAGTCAAGTTATAAAAAGAGCATTGCTTTCTGAAATGAGGGCCCAATTAACCATCGGCAAGATTTTGACTTAAGCCTCCCACTCCCTGGGGTATGCTATGGATGGCGTCTAAAAAAAGCCATAAATGCATCTTTCTGATCCTCAACCTTCCCTCCACCCCACCTCCCAGATGACAGCCGCATGCTAAGGACATCCCCCCAGAGCTAAGAGGAACTGGTTCCTGAAAGGAAATCTGAATGGGTTCATATTGTCCATCTAGGGGCCCAGTCCCTAGGCATTGCTTTCCATGGGGGTAGGGGACTGGGATGTACTGGTTATACATCCTTTTCTACAGACGCCCTGGAAATTTTCCCAATGCTATTGAGAATGCCCAAAGGGTCAAGCTATTTATCTGTAGTAAGCTATTTATCTGTGTTTTTGAAATATGAAACCCTGGAGGTCCTGTAATTAGTATGATTTTTTGTTTTGTTTTGTTACTTTGTCAGAAGCATAAAAAGGGTTTAAGTTGATTCATAATAAACAGCTGTATTTCTTCCACTTTTACCCTTTGTGCTGTGATCCTTCAGTGTCTTAACCAGCAAGGTCTGGGTCCCAACAGCTCATCAGGAAGATGTGGGAGGGTTCCCTGGAAGACTTCCTCTCAGAGCTAAGTCTCTACTCAGACTCCCCTCACTCAAATCTCACAGAAGATCCAGGAAGGCAGTTGAGTTTCTGAGGCTCAAAGGCTTTCTGTCTGGTCCTAGAACCAAAATTGTGAGAGGAGGGACTTCGGCAACTTTCCTGTTATAATGGCCACCTATTCTCTCCTTGAAGGGCTCACATTACATTTGCATGATGTACTGTTGTGGTGTCCCCTTTCACTGACCCCATTAGTGATGTCCAAAAACAATGCGAAAGTGCCTTCTGGCCTCTTGTAACCAAGGAGAAAGCCGTGGACATAAAAGAGCATAGACAGTAGCCACTGGTTGCACAGGTTGGGGGCGTGGGGGAGGGAGCAGTGTAGATCCTGTTTGAGTATTTTTATGGCCGTATTTGTTTATACTTTAACATTCCAGTTGTCTGTTCCCAATGACGGTGCTACTCAGAAAGTTAAGTGCCTGGGGAATCTCAAAAGGTTACAGGGTTTCCTACCTACTCAGTCTTATTACCAGATACCAGGTTTATGGCCACATAAAAGATTAATGGCTTTATCCCTTGGTTCTCAAGTCCTCTGTGGTCTTCATTCACAACTTCAGAAAGCCCCATTCATTCTGGGACTTCCAAAGGCTACTTATAATAGAAGAGATTAGATCTCTATAGTAAGAGCTCCTATAAAATGGGGCCTCCTTCATTAGACCTCTATAAAAAGTTATCTGTTGCCTAAACTAATATGCTTAACTGGCAATATTTCTCAGACAAAAAGAAAAAGAACCAGAAGGACGAGGAGGAGGAAGAGAAGGAAGAGGAAGGGGGCGAGAGGGAGGAGGAAGAAGAGAAGAAGGAGGAAGAGAATGTGGAAAGGAGGAGGAGGAAGAGAAAGAGAAGGAGAAGAAGAGGAGATAGGAGGAGAGGGAGAAAGAGGGAGAGGAAGTGGAGAAGGAGGATAAGGAAGTCTAGAGCTTCCATCTCTTAGGTGCACTATACTTGTACTATTGTCTGAAGTTCATGGACTAGGATGCATTCTCTCCCATTTGACGTAATAGTGTAACTCCAGAAGCTCAGCTTGGCTACACATCATTCCTACCAGTGACTTGCCAGATGACCTGGGCTAAGTCATTCACCTGGGCCTTGCCTCTATTAGTGAGGGGCCAGCATTTCATTGTTTTGCAAAGTTAAAAGAGGAAAGATGAGAAGCCTGCAAAGCTGAGAGCTTAAGAGGTAATTTTTCCTGTAATCATAAATCTTTTATGTCTCCTGAGGGCTCCCTTTAAATTAGCACTGGGTGAAAAATAAAATGGGACAAAAGACACCTTCATATCTATATTTTGCAGATTTTAACCTGCAGAATAAATTCCTCCAACAAAACCCCTCAAAAAGTTGTACAGCAAGACTATGACACCAAGGACCAATTTCTTAGCCAATGTTCATTCAATGCTGTTTTAGTGGGAGTAGGAGGAAGGAAACCTCCCACTTCTGTAGAAGATAAAATGTGCTTCCGGAACAAGAATAGAATGGTTCATTCACCTTTGTGTCATAGTTACGCCTTTTGTAAATCACTTTGAGTTTTCCAAGAGTATTTTATTGTTTGCATGTGTCTGGTGACCATTGTTATTTTGATTTTTCACAGTACTCCCTTCCTCTGACTTTTGTATATTTATTGACGGGCCAGTAACAAGGAAAGCATGATATGTATATTGCCCAGTTGAAAGCATTTATTGGAAACTATTAAAAGGCTACGGTTGAAACATTAAAGAAAATGGAGTCAGGAATCTCTGTTTTAAGGGGGATGGGAACCTGGGAGGGGCGCAGCTGGGATTATCTGCCTGTCTGGGTAATTTAGAAGCACAAGGTCAAAGGTCTAGGAGGTGGCTGAAGCTTCACACTCACGTTATTTTTTCTAAAAGGAAAAACTTCATGGGTTTCCATCACTTGAGAAACTTCCTTTGGAGGAAGTTTAATATTCCATGAAAGGCGTGTGGTCCACATATTTCAAACTAAATGAGATATGAAGTGTTAGTTCTTTAAAGCCAAGAACTACTCCTGGACTTCCAGGTAAAGAGAGGAGAGTGAACATACCTCCATTTCCTCATGCAAGACTCAAAGGACAATAAGAGGTATTCCAAAAGGCATAAACCTGCCAGGCCAAGGAAAATGGAGGAAGAGGCCATAGTAACACAATCTGAAGCTGGACAGTGATGGCTCATTGGTAACTGACTGAGTAAATGGGGAAAGTTGAGAAGCAACCATATTTGTGTAGCAGAACCCCATCCCCACCCCCAACAAGGCCCAGGAATTGGCAGCATCAGCTACCTCTGGATATGGTAGAGAAGGCGGGACTGAAATGACGAGGGTGGCTTTAAAGTCTACTTAAAAACCCCAGATCTCCTTCCCCACTCTAAATAGCTGAGTGACTGCTCTTTCCCAAGGCCAGCAAGTGACCGGAAGTTTATCCTCTGAAGGGGGCAAAATAAAGAGTCTCTGAGTGAAGGAAAACAAGGCACACACAGTTGACACTGGAAAGTGAAGCCATGCGTAAGGAATGTCAAGACTGCCTAGCCAAGCATGGATCCTCCGGGCAGAAGTTCAGTCTTTCTGGGGAATCTGATAAGCCTGAGAGAAAACCGTAAAGATACTAACATGATAGTTCCCCAAGGACATTAGCCCAGCAAAGCAATCTACAGTGAGGATCACATCTCAAGCTTCAGCAGGACCCACCGGCTCTTAGCTTTCTATAGTTCACTCTTACACATGAGAAATCGAGGAGATTCACAGAGAAGAAAACTTAAAAATAAAGCAGATCATTAATAACCTCAGTAAGATAAGAGGAGATCGTGTATCTAATGAAACAAGAACACAATGCTAGGGCAAGAACATTCAGGGAACACCTAAAGAAAAGGAGCTTTTAAGAATCTAAACATGAAAGCACAGATTTAAAAATAAACTCAATAGAAGGTTTAGAAAATACAGTTGTAGAAATGTCCCAGAAAATAGAGTGAAGACAAAGAAATGGAAACAGATGAGAAAAGTGGAGAATCATTCTAGGAAACCTAACATGCAAATAATAGGAGTTGCAGAAAGAGAGAAAATGAGAAAGAAATCATCCAAGAAATAAATCAAAGCCATTTCCCAGAATTGAAGAATATGAATATCTAGCTCAGTGCAATAGATGAAAACAGAGCCACAACAAAGCACATCATTTTAAGAAGTCATAACAATGGAGGCAAAATACATTATTCCATAAGCTCTAGAGAGAGAAAAAATTGAAAGCAAAGAAGATCAAGAATCAAAATAGAATCAGACTTTCCCAATAGCCGTATTGAAGACCATGAAACAGTGCCTTCAAAATCCTGAGGGAAATGTTTCCAAGCTAGAACTCTAATTTAGCTGAACCACACATTAAGTGAAAGGGTAGAATAAAGACATTTTAAATAGGCACTGTCGTCAAACCTACTCACCCATTCTCAGGCAACTCCCAAGGGATGTACTCCAGCAAAACAAGGGAGTTGCCAAGAAAGGGGAGGCGTGAGCTTCAGAAAACAAAGTAAAGGGAATTCCTAAAATGATGATAAGGGGGGATCCCGAGATGACAGCCGTACAGCAGCTCTAGGGAACAATCAGTCCAAACTGAAGCGCTAACAAATGAAGCCCTGGATTCATCCACCTCTAATTAAAGAGAAAATTACTTTTTGGTTATATTAGTTAACTAATATAACCAAAATGCAGCGTACATTTATTTTTTATGAGTCCACCGACTTTTTGGTTATATTAGTTAACTACTGATACCTTAAAAACCACTCCAAAATGCAGCGTACATTTATTTTTTATGAGTCCACCCATTGACTAGGTGCTTCTACTGATCGGGACAGGGCTCAGTTGAGCATGACAACACTCACACAGGTGTCTGTGGTTAACACACTGGTCTACGATGGCTACATCTGGGATGGCTGGGTGACTGGAGTCTCTTTGTGTGTCCCTCATGCCCTTCAGCTGCCTCGTCCAGGGATCCAAGTGACAGCAGATGCCACAAGGCCTCTTGAGGCGTAGGCCCAGAACTCTATCATTCCACCATATAGTACTGTTGGCTACGCAAGTCTCAAGAGCAGCCCAGATTTAAAGGCTGGGAAATATATTCTACTTCTTAATGGGAGGCACTGCAAAGTCACACTGCAAAAAGTGTGACTACAAGGAGACCAGTGACCAGGGCCATGAGGGCCACCAGTCTATAACAGATGTGTTGGAAGATTTTTGTGCTGGAGGGCACCTCTCATGTTTATGATTAATAAATACACACCATTTGGCCATATTGGCAAATAGCATTAACTTAGAAAACCATAAACAACTTCATAAATTCCATGTTACTGGAAAAGGATGGAGCCAGATCTTGTGTAAATACATTTTGCAGAGATTACCTGGTGTAGTAAATAGAAAGAGCATGAGCTTTGGAATTAGGCAAACCTGTCTTGCTATTGTTGTTTTGGGATTTTTTGCTTGTTTGTTTTTTAAATATGGTTTTTAAAAATTGATTTGAGAGAGAGAGAAAGAAAGGACACAGAGAGAAAAACATCCATTGGCTGCCTCCTGCAAGCCCCCTACTGGGGATTGAGCTCGAAACCCAGGCATGTGCCCTGACCAGGAATCAAACTGGTGACCTCTTAATGCATGGGATAATGCTCAGCCAACTGATTCACACTGGCCAGGGCCGAACCTGGGTTTTAATAGGGATGCTACCACTGAACTGTGCAACCCTACTAACACATCTAACTAGTCTTAGTTTTCTCATCTGCAAAGGAGGGACAATAAAACCTTCATAGGGTCACTAGGAGGATTAAGTGAGGTAATAAGTTCATGGCAGTGCCTGGCATTTATCAGGTTCTCAAAAAGATTGATTCCCATGTGAATATTAA